ATGTTGATGTTAGGCGTGGAGTGTTGGTTGGGAAAAGTGGGAAAATCAATTGAAGAGGCTATGAAGTTACATAGATTGAGATGGCTAGATCACGGGCTGCGCATGCCTAACCATCGCCTCCCTATCCCCGACGGACGGGCATTACTAGCTGATATAGGTGTTGTGGGTTGGAAAAGAGTAATTGGTGGCCAAACAAAAACATGGCCTCATCAATCCATGAAATCCCTGACAGTTGAACTGAGTCAGGTAGGGAGGGAGATGCAGACTTCCGGGTTGGGGCCCACCCTCGGGACTCTAAGAATCAATGGCTGGAGACAGGCAATAGGTGACATGGCTCAAAATCGTTGTCAATGGCTTACGCAGATGTATTCAGTCTATGTAATCTTTCATATTCCTTTCTACCATTACTCATTCTGTTTCACTCTTATACTTGTCAAAACTCTATTGATTCTCTTCACTCATCTTCTTGTCTTGTCTACCTTTGTGTGCTATTTGGAACGTGGCAACTGGAACTGCTGCACTTCGTTGCGAAGTTCTATGTTGAATCCAGCCAGCCCCTTATCTACTTGAACATGGCCTGGAAAACATTCGCACCTGTCTTTCTGCATGACTAATTCAATGTAGTTTGTTTACTTATCAGTCTTATATCTCCCAATGTAATTTCAAAAGTACACATATGTCCGTGTATGTAGAGTACTGAGCAGCTGACGAGTTCTACCGAAATTTGATGAATCCATCATTAAATCCTGCCATATTAACCTGCTTTGTTGCCTCTTTTAAATTCGAAGTGATATGATATTTTTCTAGGTGTTGGTTTTGTAAGGATTCGATCGGTTTCAAGTTTTGAACCATTTCAAAAACCTACCAGGGAGTTCCTGGATAGCTTACAATGGTGAAAATTCATAGGCTGGTCATTGAATTCTGTTCCAGTGACTGGAGGGGTCAATAAGTTCGCTTTGTGTAACCTGGTTTCAGTCGTTAGCGGCGCGGAGTCATGAGTGCGTGTATTTATGAAGAGTCCTAAACTAGGACGAAACAACTGGTTCTCTAGCTAGTAGTACTGTAACGGTAGAAGACGAGAGACTTGGTTAAATAGTGTTTATTTCGAATGCAGTATCTCTATATGTAATGAAATTATGTACACCTTATGCTTCAAATCACCAATTGTACAGATCATCTTCCGTGTTGTCCTTGCTACTTCTAGCCTTCATATTGTGTTTCTTCTTTGTGTTCCTTTCCCATCTCCCATGCATTATCTCCGCAACGCTGAATCATTTTTGCTTCCTCTGACACCTAATGTATCTCCATTATGGGTAAATTTTATTTTGATAGAGTCTCACATTGTTATACAGTAATATTTACTGATGACCATGTTTCGAGCACAATTTATTGCTCATAATCATATCAAGGTAATCACACGACTTCCTAAATTCATTTATATAATTCCGTTGTTTTTCACTTGATTTTCACTTGATTTGATTGGTAGTATTATTTTCCATATTTCGGGTGTGAGTGATGATTCATTCCTATTGCATGTGTTGGGTGTAGATTCGATGAACAAGGATTCAGTAATCAACCTCTCTCGCGCTGCACCTACCTAGATTACTTTTTAGAATTTTGAATCTGTCCCACCCTATAAGGTGGTTGTGTGTTAACCCATGCAAGCAGTGCAATGCAGTGCTGAGCTTTTTTCTAAATTACTTATCTTCTTTGGGGTGAACCATTCTTACCTTAGCTAAATTCTTATGTTCTGACAGGCAGTCTGGCTACCCCGACCTACTAGTTTGACCTATGTAGTTGACCTCACTGACAGTCATTCCAAGGTATTTTGTAAATTATATTATTTTGTCTAATTGGGTCCACTGGGTCCTTTAAGCTACAGAGCTTGTCTCTGAGTGAGTTTGTAGGTTTAAATGCCACCACCCTAATTCCTGCTTTATTAAGAATCCTACGTAGGGTCTCAGATGTCCCCTCTTTATATGGTATAACTGTAGATGACTTATATTCTCTCTTATTTATGTTATCATTACTAGTTCCACAATTATTTTGATTTTTACTTTGGCCTTTTTCAATCTTCCTAGTGAATTTTAGAGGATAGTTATTGAACACCAACGCCTCTTCTATCTGTTTTATTTCATCATTTAGGTCTTTTCTTGTGCTACTTAATGCCATTGCTCGGTTTGTTAAACACTTAACTAAGCCTGCCTTAACAGTTAAAGGATGAGATGAATTAAAGTCTAAATATCTATTAGCAGAATGGGTTGGTTTTCTATAAACACTAGTGTGTAGTTTGCCTTCTTCTATTCGTTTTATTTTACAATCTAACACCATAGTTAATTCTCCTTGCTCATTTTTGGCTTCAAATGTGAATTTTGTTCCCTCCACAGAATCCTTGTTCATCGAATCTACACCCAACACATGCAATAGGAATGAATCATCACTCACACCCGAAATATGGAAAATAATACTACCAATCAAATCAAGTGAAAATCAAGTGAAAAACAACGGAATTATATAAATGAATTTAGGAAGTCGTGTGATTACCTTGATATGATTATGAGCAATAAATTGTGCTCGAAACATGGTCATCAGTAAATATTACTGTATAACAATGTGAGACTCTATCAAAATAAAATTTACCCATAATGGAATTACACTCTACCACAGTGCCCAAGTTTTATTCTTATATCTAATGTATCTCCTTGCTATTTGATGTTTCTTATGCCGATGAACGTCTGTTTATACATATATACTACTGGCAAATCTTATCAGTAGTGTACACGCCCCAATGCTACATAACCAGAGGCAATAATATGCTCCAGAATTGAGTTGTTGACTTTCCTATGTTCTCCTTTTAACAACCGTGCTGGTAAGTGTTGATGGCTATCTCTAGATAATGTCCTGCTAGTATGACCTACACACCTGGCTCCACAGGAGCAGGTGACTTGGTAAATGTACATTGAAGTTGCCAACAGTGGGATCTTGTCTTTGACGCTTTAGTGAATAAGAACATTGTATAGATAAGGCGAAACATAGAGATGCATCAACAAACAACAACGCTCATGACAGATAGCTTCGATTTAAAAAACTTACAATTAGTTGTTTCTTCGGCGCATCATCCAGGTTTCGAGGAATTATCGATCTTTCCCTTTAGATGTTCATTTTAATAAAGGAGGTTATTCTGAAGGATTCCTTTTTTCCTTTTTTTATTCACAATACGTCTTCAGTACATATGGTATATGTATGGTAGATTCTCGTTGCAAGAGAGACGATGAGATTTCTTCTTCTGTTCACTCGGACAGACCTGTGATAGGAGTTTGTCAGCATTCCATTTCGATTTGGTTTCATTTTTATCACATATCGAATCATTGTTTCATATTAGTTTGTTTATTAGATGTATCACACACAGTCAGTGAAACAGTATTATACGTACTGGATGACAAAGTTTCGAACACAATTCATTCATTGTTCATAATCATTTCATCAATTATAATCACACACAACTTCGAAACTTGAGTTTTATAGTTTTCTTTGTTCTCTCCTATTTGTCGTGGTTGGGGTAGTAGAATTTGCCAGATGTCTGGGTGGAAAGGTGTTGAATCATTCCTATTACACGTATCCAGTCTCAGTTGATTCGATAAACAAAGCTTCTGTTATCAATCTCTCCTTTCACCCGGTTAGTTGCATTAGATTTTCAACATGTCATCTTATCCCATCCGGCCTATTGTATGGTTGTGTGTAATTGCATGTAGTGAGTGCTATAGCTGAAGTATTCTCTAGATTTCTTATCTTATTGGGGTCAACTAATCTAGGTTTTGCTGGTAGGTTTTTATGCTCAGCTAGTCTGATTGACTGACCCTGTTCTACTACTTTGACCGAATGTATTTCACCTGACAATCATTGCATGCAGGGTATTAGATAAACTAAATTGTTTTGTTTAATTGGATGCGCACGGCTGACCATTTGACCGATAAAGCTTGTTTCTAATTGAGTTTGTGGGTGGGTTGAATGCCAGCCACTTTTATTCCTGCCTTTTTAAGAATTCTCCGCTGTGAGGTTTCCGAGGTTCCTTCCTTGTATGAAATTACTACTGATGATTTAGATTCGTTATTGTTGGTGTTGTCATTATCCTGTGCATGTTTGACATGCATGTCGTCATTAATAAAGACATCACCAACAATAAGAAATCCGAATCATCAGTAGTAATTACATACAAAGAAGGAACCTCGGAAACCTGACAGCGGAGAATTCTTAAAAAGGCAGAAATAAAAGTAGCTGGCATTCAACCCACCCACAAACTCAATTAGAAACAAGCTTTATCGGTCAAATGGTCAGCCGTGCGCATCCAATTAAACAAAACAATTTAGTTTATCTAATACCCTGCATGCAATGATTGTCAGGTCAAATACATACGTCAAACTAGTAGAACAAGTGCAGTCAGACTAGCCGAACATAAAAACCTAGCGAAATCTAGATTAGTTGATCCGAATAAGATAAGAAATCTAGAGAATAGTTCAGCTATAGCACTCACTACATGCAATCACACACAGCCGTACAATAGGATGGATGGGATAAGATGACAGTTTCAAAATCTTATACAACTAATATGGTGGAGGGAGAGATTGATAACAGAAGCTTCTTTTATCGAATCAGCCGAAGAGAATACGTGTAATTGGGATGGTTCGACACCTGTTCACCCAGATATCTAGAAAATTCTACTACCCCAACGACGATAAATGGGAGAGAACAAAGAAAACTATATAAAACTCAAGTTTCGAAGTCGTGTGTGATTATAATTGATGAAATGATTATGAACAATGAATAAATTGTGTTTGAAACTTTGTCATCCAGTAAGTAATACTGTTTCACTGACTGTGGTATATACATCTAATAAACAAACTAATATGGAATTACTAACTAACACAGTGCAGTAGTCAAGTTTTACCCACATATATACGAATCATTGTTTTTTTTTAACGAAACTTTTTCCCCCTCCTCAGGTATCTAATTGTAACAATGATGCAACACTGACATCAATGAACCATGTAACATTGAACATAGAAAAAGATAATGATTCAATAATTCAAACAAAAACTGGCGGCGACGCGGTAAATTCAAATATTATTATTGAACAAACGCCTACTTCACTATCGTCATCATCATTAACCGCCTTGTCGAATAAAATAACAACATCCAATGAAAATGTACAATATAACCATCATCATCATCACGATGATGAACCTGATGTTGTTGCTGATGACGAAATCAATAAATTCAATCAACGAAATGTCTGCAAAAGTATTTCCCCGAAATTATTTCTTAAAAAACAAGTGACCACAGCCAATGTGATCTTAACAAAGCCTAATGTTATGTCGTCTTCATCAATTGATACAACGAAAATATCAAAATTGACGGCGACAACAACAACAGCAACACATTTTCGATCGAATAGCAGTGTAAGTTTCTCTTCGATATTCCCTACTGTTTTTGGATAGTGTTGTGATTAGAAGACGGAGATTATCTGAAAAATAAAGGGGTGTGTGATGTATTTACGCTATATACATTTCGAACAATCTGATCCCTCACACATTTACTTGTCAAGTCGATATATATGAAAAAAATTATTATTATTATTGTTCCCTAGTGGAACATAGGGCTTCAACTGCACGTCTCCACTTGCTTCTGTCTTCCGCTGTACTTTTCACCTGCATCCATGTTAATCCATACTGTTTCATCTCCTCTTCACACGATCTCCTCCATGTCACCCTTGGACGTCCCACTCGTCGCTTCCCTTTCGGGTTCCACTCGAGCACTGACCTGACGCGCGATGTCACCCAACGGCCTCCTCAGCGAGTGTCCAATCCACCTCCACTTTCTCCTGCATGTTTGTTAGGCAATTGGTTCTTTTTTTGTTTGTTCCCACAGTTTCTTGTTGGTGATTCTTTTCGGCCATCTGATCTTCAGTATAGAGCGAAGAGAGTTGTTGTTGATAAAGGTCTGCAACAGGCTGTTGGAAATATTCTTTGTGACCCGCCAAGTTTCTGATACGTACGCATAGAAGAACTGACTTGACGTTTGTATTGAAAATCCGAATTTTCTTGTTGAGTGTTGCTGAGTGACGAAGATTTCCAGATTGGTTTCAGGTTGATGAATGTGTTTTTTGCCTTCCCGATTCTCGATTTGACATCCTCGTCCGTTCCTCGTGTAGTTGAGACAATACTCCCTAGATAAGTGAATGAAGAAACTTCTTTCAAATCCCTCCCGTTGATGGTGATTGGCGCTGGATGTTGCTGCTGTTGTGGTAGTTGGTTGGTTATTTTCATAACCTTCGTCTTGTCTATGTTCACCTGGAGTCCTGCCTTCACTGGCTGCTTCTTCGACCAGTTTGTCGGTTTTCACTTGTAATTCTTCGATTTTGTGTGACTGAAGAAAAATTAAGGCCAATTAAATTTTAAAAAAGTGACAAAAAAGAAAGATTTTGAGAATGATTAACACAACGTTTGGTAATCCAATCAAATAAGGACTACTATTTTGTACTGACAACGTCCATTTCACGTTTGAAGGTGAACATTTTTGAAAAGTGGATGGCGTTGCTGCGGGGAGTCCATTAGGACCTTTGTTAGCGGACGTTTATATGTCCCATGTTGAGAACTTGTCCCTTGATCTAATTTTTAAATTGCCTTTCTATAGGAGATATGTAGATGATATCATTTTGATATGCGACGATCATGAAGATGCGAGTCGTCTATTAGACAGACTTAACTCTGTACAGAATCATGTAAGTCTTACATGTGAGGGAGAAAGTCACAACCAGCTTGCATTTTTAGACATACTTCTGAGTCGAAGAGATGGTGGTTCAATAAGACGATCAATCTACAGAAAGCCTGCTTGGACAGGGCAATACCTTAATTTTCACAGTTTTTGTTCATTACAGTATAAGACAGGCTTGATGAAATGTCTATTTAAGAGGATTCAACGTATTTGCACGGCTGATGTTATAGACAAAGAAAACGAAATATTGATGGATACTCTTGTTGAAAACGGATATCCTTTAAAATTTTTAAACAGGTGTAGAAGTCAATTAATCGTTAAACCTAAAATCTATACCGCCCCTAAGAAAAATGTTTCCATCAAATTAAGATATTGCATGGAGAATTTCATCATGAGCTGACATCAGTTAGAGAACCACTGGAAAACCTGGGAGTACCGGACAGCTGTTTCGTCCTAGTTCGAGACTCTTCATCAGTATTAGTAGGGTACAGCAGATGAAGATGAGGCAGTAACTCATCGAAGAAGACATTGAGAAATGGTCGCGCTATGTCGTGAATTGGCAGAAGTTAGGATTCAAGGACCATTGGATCGGGTACCAGTGGCTCAATGGTCTACGAGCTCGCTAGCCTTGTAACCAGAAGGTCCTGGGTTCTAACCCCTGTGGTGGGTGCGTACTGCTGAAGGATTAATCCTAAACCAGGCTGACGAAACAGCTGTCCAGTACTCCAGTGCTGGTTTTCCAGTGGTTCTCTAGCTGATGTCACCTCATGATGAAATCCTCCATGCAATCAAACTGAAATCCCTACAAAACCAATACTTAGAAATTAACATATAATGAGGAAATAAACAGTAGGATTTTGAGACAAAGGTTGAATTCGATAATCCGTAGAACCTATTATGCAGCCAAAAATATGCTCCACTGCAAACCTCAAAAGTGCACAAGTGAATATGTCACATCCCACACTATTTACCAATTTTCGTGTGTGTGTGTGTGGTCATACATACATTGGGAGGAGCAATCGCGCTTTGCATGTGAGGATGGGAGAACATATCGCGAAATGGTTAGAATTGTGTTAAACTAATAGATGCAGGTGTCAGACTACCAACTTCGTCTATAACTAAACATCTAATCCAGATGAACCATAAGATTGATGTTAACTCAACCTTTAAGGTTATCTATAAAAACGGTCAAGGGCGCTTGTTGAAATACGCTGAGGCTATAGCTATGCGTAAGCTTAAGCCCCCCTTGTGTATTCTAAAACAGTTTATTATTACTCTTAACCTACCTTGGTAATCCTTATTTGATTGGATTACGAAACGTTGTGTTAATCATTCTTAAATCTTTCTTTTTTTTGTCACTTTGTCACTAATTTAATTGCCCTTAATTTCACTTTTTCATATACATCGACTTGACAAGTAAATGTGTGAGGGATCAGATTGTTCAAAATGTATGGCGCAAATACATCACACTCCTATTTTCAGATAATCTCCGTCTTTTAATATTATTATTATTGTTTCCTTTAATTCCTAGAGGAACATAGGGCTTCAGCCGTGCGTCTCCATTGCGTTCGGTTCTCTGATAGAGTCTTCACATGGCCCCAAGTCTGCCCACACGTTTTCATCTCCTCTTCACATGACCTCCTACTGCATGTCACCCTTGCACTGACGACCAACTCGCCGCCGCTTCCCTTTCGGGTTCCACTCGAGCGATGGCTTGTCTAGTGATGTCACTTGGTGGTTTCCTCAGAGTATGACCAGCCAATCCACCTCCATTTCTTCCTGCCTATTTGTTTCACAATCGGTTCCTGCTGGGTTGGTTCACTCATTGCCAGAGATCCCTCCCTGTTGCTGATCTTTTCTGGTCGGCCATCTGATCTTGAGTGGTATTGAGAGGAGACAACTGTTAATGAAGGTCTGTAGTTTGTTTGAGATGCTCTTTATGACGCGTTGGCAAAGTCTCTGATCCGTATAGTGAGTAGCACTGACTTCACATTGGAGACTGACTTCACGCTATCCAAATTTATAAGAGGGACTAATTGTTTTAAATTCCCCTTGTTGTTTTTTTATGACGTCAATGGTTTTCAGTCTGTGACAGGAACTACTGTTCACCACAGTTGTTATTTATTTATTTTATCATTCCTTGAGTGTAGAGTGGGACATTATAATTATAAGACATAATTTCTTTACGTTTCCAATGGAACAAAGGGGCTTTCAACCTAGAGCTTTCAAGTTTCAGGATGGGGTTGCTTGCCTCATCCTCAACCTTTCCCTCTTTACCAGTCAGTCGTATTACTGGCTTACAGGGGTAAAATGGTGCATCGATGGCCAGGGGTCGAACCCCGGACCACATGGGGTGTGGTTGGCGAGCATTCTACCACTTTGCCACCTACGCTACGAGTGCTACAATAGGGCTTCATCCGGCGGACTAAAGCTAGGCAGTCTACACCTTCCTACATGGTTGACATTGCTTGTCGAGTGTGGCAATGTTTTGACATGCACAACACCTGCCCTAGCCATCTGAATCGATGAAGCTACACAACCTGATCGCTTGACTTACCCTCTTTACCAAACACTGTATACGTCTAACTTTATTATAACTCAATCTTTTTCTATGCATTCCAGAGTCGTGAAAATATGTTCGACGGTAATAATATCAATGGTGATCACTTTTCATTTGGTGCATCGAATACTGTCCAGGTGAATCTTACGCCTCACTCTCCAACTCATAAAGTGTATAATACTAATCCTAATAATTACAATAATAATAATACTGATAATACTGTTGATAATTTCGTCTGTCATCGTCAACACACCCATCGGAAAAATGCTTCCTCTGAAGAATTGTACAGTTATACACATTCAGAGAATAATAATTATGATATGCATGACACTGCTGCTGTTGTTGTTGATGATGTTGATGTTGATGATGAAGAAGAGAATTCCACCACATCGACCACAGTGATGAATTCAATGAAAAAACCTAACAGAAAACAACCGTCAGAATTAGCTGTCGAAATAGCTCTGTTACGCTATGAACTACTCCTTTCTCGTCAAGATGCTTTACGTGCTGCTGATCGATTAAGTAAACAAGAGACGGAGATTTATCAGTTGCGTCAATTATTAGAACAATTACGTAATAATAATAACAGTAAGCAGAAAAATAAACAATCAATTGAGTTGAAATTACAGAATTCAGATAACAATTATGATACCCTGTTGAATACGACTCATGTCAATGATGAAATGATGATGACAATGAGTTGCAGTCAACACCAAGGCAGTGATCCTCAACTCTCCAGTGTTAAGCAACAAAATAACACCCGTGATCGTGTTGGTGATGGTGTTGGTGGTGTTGTTAATAATAGTTGTTTACAGAATCCGCCAAATACTCATTCAAAAGTTTTACAAAGTGTAACAGCTACATTCAAAGAGTTGGATGATGCAATGGCAAGGTAGGTGTTCGATTTATTGATTTTTCTTTTTTTTTTCAAGAAAATACCTTCTTTATATTTTCTATAGTTTGGTTTGTAAGGGTTAGTTATGTTTTTTTTTACGAGTTGATCACGGATTGATATCAGTTAGAGAACCATTGAAAACCAACCCTGGAGTACTGCCAGACCGCTGTTTCATCCGTCCTAGTTTGGGAATCATCGGCAGTGCGCACACACTGGCGCTAAATTACGAATTGGTGGAAGTTAGAATTCATGCACTGGCCATTGAATCGAGTCCCAGTGGCTGAATGGTTTACGAGCTTGCTGGCCTTGTAACCGGAAGGTCCTGGGTTCGAATCCTGGGAGTGGGTGCGTACTGCCGATGATTCCCAAACTAGGATGAAACAGCTGTCTGGCAGTACTCCAGTACTGGTTTTCAATCGTTCTCTAATTGTGATATCGATCCGTGATCAACTTCTCTATATTATTTTATTTGCTTACTTTATATTGATTTCTTTCTACTTGATATTAAAGACAGAGGTGCATTAAGGCAAATTTCAAAAGACTTCCTCATCAGTCTTAGGATGGATAAGCTTCTTTTGCTAACTGTGAAATAAATCATGATTTATGCATGTACGGACAGGATAATCTGATTGGACAATTTTTATTCGTCTATTTATGGCTTAGTTTTCTAAGGTTTTGTAAAGGTATCTAATCAGGGTGGTCGTAGTGAAATAGTAGAATACGAATACTTGAAAAACAATAGTGAATTTGGAAATTGGTATCTCTTTCTATATTTTCTATAGTTTGGTTTGTAAGGGTTAGGTGTGTTTTTTACAAGTTGATCCTGGAGTTCTAGTGAGAAGTCGTGACCAGTGAGGTCCATCCAGATGTCACGTGTGAGGATGGATGTCCCCTCGACGACAATGGTTGGTGGTCGCGCTAAATCACGAATTGTTAGAAGTAAGAATTCATGGGTCTCAGTGGCTGAATGGTATAAGAGCTTGTTGGCCTTGTAACCGGAAGGTCCTGATTTCGGCCCCTTTGTTGTGGGGTGTGTACTACCGGTGATTCCCAAACTAGGCCAACGAAACAGCTGTCCAGTACTCCAGTGTTGGTTTTTCAATGGTTCCCTAACCGATGACAATCCGTGATCAACTCGTATCTCTACATAGTCAAATTATGTATACACACCATATCGTCAACGAACCATTTGCACAAATCTTCGTGTTGTGGTACTTCTGGACTTCATATTATGTGTATTTCTTTGTGTTCCTTTTACGTCTCCCATGTATCTATCTCCACATTGCTGTATCATTTGCCTTCTCTCAAATCAATTGTATCTACCTGCTATTCGATATTTTATGCCGATGAATATCTCTTTATATACTACTCACAAATCTTATCAGTAGCACTCGCCACAATAGTAGTGTGGTGAGAGCTGGCTGCTAGCCAAATTGGTAGACAGTAATTTGGGTCAATGTTTACGTCCCCAATATTGGTCATGAGAAAAATAAGAACAAAGACTGACTCAACAACCAATCACAACAGAATTTGTTTGCGTAGGGGGATACAATTAGCCGATAGATAATATGACCTTCAAGAAACGGCCACAAAGAGATGAAAGATTAACTTACAGTGAGAAACAACCACCAATCAGAAGACTGTGTTTGTCTGCTAACAATAATCTATAATAATGTACATGAAAATCTATAAATATGTGTTGATTTCGTAAATAAACGATCTGTTACCTGGCCCTTGTTTTCTGTTGTCACACCAGGATGTAGATGATATTGTCCTCCTGGTTGAAGACAGAATTCAGATTACTCTGAACATGTTGAGCAGATATTTTCTAATGTTTGACGTGCGATTCCCTCCCGTCCGCGCATGCGATATCGGTAACCAAAATTTTGCCGGCCGGCCGACCATTGATATCAGGTGTGCGTCGGCAGGGGATCGAACCCCGGATCATGTGCATGGTTGGCGAGAGTTCTAACCACTGTGCCACCGACGCACACAATAAAGTGACGACCGTGAGGCCCCCCCACTGACAAAAACTAAACGCCCAAGCGCACTCGATTACGGTCCGTTGCGAGTTTCAACCCACCGAGGTGCAATGGTAAGCCTCCACCCCGGGTGAGAACATTTTTGATCACCGTGAACCCGGCACATTAGGGATCAGCTAGGAATTCATGAAAGCTAGATAAAAAAAGAATTCATTTTGTTAATTGGTTATTTACTGATGTAGACCTTTCTTTTGTTTTCGTGATCTGCACATATATTCTCAACGATTTCCCTAAAACTTATTTTTCAATTTAGATTAGAACTAGAGCAAAGTGAACTACTCCGTGAACAGGCTAGAATACGTGCTCGAATCGCTGCAACACATCGACATCAACATCAACACCAACACCACCACCACCAACAACAACAACCAATCACGTCGTGTACACAATCCATCATCAATCCCACTGTCGCATCGAAGAGTAAATCTCTTATACGTCCAAAATATTTTCAATCTTCTATCCCAAAAATTTTAATCGATTCTGAGAAGAGTCGTGAACTACCTAGTCCTGGGCATATGAATTATATCAATTCACCTCGGACTAATATTAGTAATAATAATTATATTCAAAAGACTAGCATATGTAGTGAATTAAAAAGCGCGCCAAAAAAATAAACCTCTGTTCAATGTTCTATACACGGATAAAGCATTTATTATTATTATTCTTTTGTTGAAAAGAGAGAGATAAAATGAACACACATTGTTTTTCCTTCTAAAATGACGCATTTCGATTATTCGCGCGCAAAAAAGAACCAATCACGTAACTATGACAACACTGTATTCATCATATTGTACATTTGTCATTTTATCCTATGAATTAATTTTGACCCGTTTAGCTTTGTACTATAGGTGGTTTATTGGTGTCATTATAAAACTTACTCCCCCCCTCCCCTTCCCCTTTCTAATTAGAGATCATTATTCCGATTGATTGTATGTCTCTTGTTTTCGCTCAGTTGTGTGTGTGTGTGTACACTCTAAAAATGAATGTACAATAAATAAAGTTTCTTTTATTCCCTGAGTTCCGACTGGAACACAGGGCTCTTCAGATTTATGAGAAGCTTTGAAGTTTCAGTAGCTTTGGTACGTTTGTTTGTACTTCAACGTGTTTGTGTGTGTGTGAAGGGCGGGGGTGGGGTTGCTAGTCTCACGACCCCCCAACCTTCCCTCTATACCTGGTTTACTATCTATCGGTCAGGCAAGTTGTGCGAATGCGTCGACGCCGCGCAAATCGAACTTGGGACCATGTGACGTGTGGTTGGTTGGTTAGCGAGCACAGTCTAACCTTCATGAACCACTGACGTAAAAAGGAGATGAAATATTTATCCCCCTTATTTTCCTTATCCTTTCAATTTTATTGATGATTGCTAATGGTTGGTGGTCATTCTGATGCCAATGTGTATTTTATTTTTTGTGATATTTCGTTCGGTCGGTCGGTTTTCGACATAGAACTTTGCACATCTGTGCGGTAGTTCAAGTCGCCACACTCCCTCCATGTAGCACACGAAGCAAGAGAAGAAAGTAGGAGAAATGCATATTAGAGACAGTAAACAGAGGTGGGAGACAAAGGAATAGTAATAACGAAGAACAAAACAGTTTCATCGGAAATCATAAGTCACAAGGAATGGATGCATCTGCGCCAGCCATTGAGAATGATTTTGAGCCATGTCACCGATTGTTTCCACACATTGGTTTTTACCGTCCCGAGGACCCGAACCAGCCAGTCAGGAAGTCTACACCATCCTACGTGGCTTAGACTAACTGTTGTGGATTTCATTGACTGGTGCCATGTTTTCGTTTGACCACCGCTGGCTGGCTCTTTTCCAGCCTGACCCTATATCAGCTAACATCGCCCATTGTCGAGGAAGGCGATGACTAGGCAGGCATGCGTAGCACATGTCCTAACCATCTCAGTCGATGCAATTTCACAGTCTCGTCGACTGATTTCCCCTCCTTACCTGGCACTCGACCGGTGCCTAACCTCAATATTGCTCACCTTATCACACGACTTCACGCGGCAGATAGAACGCAGACACCTATGATCGAAGACAGCTAATCTTTTCATGTCTTCCACTCTCAATGGCCAGGTCTCACAGCCATAAAGGAGGACGGAGTGCTTTGGTCGATAGCCAGCCGGATATTACGTCTACGCCAGAGACTTTGTAAACTGGCATATGCCAAACTAGCCCTCTGTATTCGTGCTGAGATTTCGTCAGAGATCAACCGGTCGTGGCTTTTGCAAATTCCCAAATAAGTGAAGTGGTCAACGTGCTCTACCACTTCACTTCCTATTTCTAATCTAAAGGAGTCGGTGAAGTCCAATCCTGCAGCATCATCTTACATTTTACAGGGGCGAATCGCATGCCAAACATTCGAAGATTGATGCCTCTCAAGGTGTTCAGAAGACTCTGCATTCTGTCGGCGTCCTCGCCTAGAAAGACTATATCGTCTGCATATTCTAAGTCGACGAGATTATTCGCTGGTGGCAGCAAGTCAATCCCTGAGTCTCTGAAGTGTGTTAGGGTTAAGTGATATTTAGGTCCACAAGCTTCTTATTACTTGTGATGATGACAGTAGTTATCAAGAATAGAAAGTTTTTCAAATTCAGATAAATAAAGTTTGGAAAAATATTTGACTTGGTAATTTTATGCACATATATGTAGATATGATGGAGAGGAGATTTGCAGCTCAGATGGATGATTTTGATGTGGTTGTGTTCTCTGAGCTAGCTGGCTGGATGGTTTATTTGCAAAGCTTTTCATTATTGATCTACTAATAGGCAACATCTTCAGCGCATACTTCACTTCAATTTGAATTGAAGTGAGCTCGTTTTAGATTTCTCCACGAGTTCATTAGTCATCTCTCATGGTGACCACCTTGAACGTGACTCTTTGATTGGGTTTGGTGTGTTTTTTACACCCTGTAGGCTGCTACTTCTGTTGGTATTGGTGTTGATTGTTTCCTTGACTTGAAGTTTGACCCTTTGTGTATGTGAGATTTCCTTCTTATTATCGATTGGTGAATTTTGTGTATGTCAATGTGTCTATTGATTGACGATTTACTGGAGTACCAAGCTTCTTCAAATTCTCTTGCCAGAATTCCTAGTGTTTCCTCTTCATCTTCGTATCCATGATCATAAACTAACCATCAAAAGACAATGATATCCACTCCCTTCCTGATATCGCTGTATACAGACAACCGTGGACATCAATTCGACTGCGACAACCAGCGTTCAAATATTAGGCAAAGGAAACACTAAGAATGCTAACCAGAGAACTTTTAGAAGCCCGCCTTGTATTCCAGTGAATCGTCAATCAACAGACACATAGAGATAGACAAAATTTACCAATCGATAAGAAGGAAATCTGACACACACAAAGAGTCAAACTTCAGGTCAAGGAAACAATCAGCACCAATACTAATACAAGTAGCAGCCTAGAGGAGGTGAAAACACACCAATCACAACCAAAGAGTCACGTTCAAGCTGGCCACCAGAAGAGATGACTAATAAACTCGTGGAGAAATCTGAAAAGAGCTCACTTCAATTCAAATTGAAGTGAAGTATGCGCTGAAGATGTTGCCCAGTAGTAGATCAATAATGGAAGCTTTGCAAATAAAACATCCAGCCAGCTAGCTGAGAGAACACGGAATCACTCATCAGTCTACTCAGTTCGAAGTGGAAATTCGTCACATAAATTCAATCATAAGGTGGCTTTCACAGGTGAGTCAAACGGGGTACACCACTGATATGAGCTCAGCTGTATAGACAAACGAAACGGCTATCCAGTTGACTGATAAGCACTGCTGTTTGATACGAATGGTGTTCAACTACTCAAATAAATAAATCAGTAGTATATAGAATATGTTTCTCAATTCCAGGGTGTCATGAAGTTTCAGTAACGGGGTTGTGCTGTATTTACAGGCGGTGTTGTTGCTGGCCTCTTGCCCCCATGCAACCTTCGCTTTTTATTGGGCTAACTCATGGCTAAGAGAGGTTTAAGAGTGCATCCTCTGGGATCACAGGTGTGACTGACTGACTGGTACTGGTGAGCACTCTACTCTACTAACTTCCAACGACGCATATACAAAATCGATTTAAAAGCAAATTATGTATTCATTTTAAAAGAATGGTTACTGAACAAACAGTACGCTTTTCGATAACTTGCTCTTCATCAGGTTCTATGGTTATATATACATTATAGTGAATGATTGAATTAGTGTAGTGAACAACATTAATGTTGTTTAAATAACATCGAATGAATAATAATAGCAATATCAGTGGATTACAGTTCAATAACATCAACACTGAATATCAGAGAAATTAGGAAAGATAATAATACAAATTCATTAATCAATCAATTGGTCGTCAGTGCGAGGGTGAAATGCATGAGGTCATGTGAAGAGCAGATGAAAGCATGTGGGTAGACTTGGAGCCAGGTGAAAACGTTGTCAGAGAACCGAATGCAATGGAGACATGTGGCTGATACCATATTTTTCTCTAGGAATGAAAGGAAACAATAATAATAATGATATAACAGTAGATATGGACTGTGGGTGCGTACTACTGAAGAGTCCCAAACTAGGCTAACGAAACAGCTGGCTATCTAGTACTCTCAGGTGGCTTTCCAACGGTTCTCTAACCGATGTCAGCTAGCTCATGATGAAATCCTCCAACCAATCAAACAAGACTCCTACAAAATCAATACTTGAAAATCAGATTAAATAAACAAGTTCAGTCAATATATGTATATATATTGAAACAGGCCCATATGAGGAAATTAAAAAATAAAACCTGTAGACACTATTGTGAATAAAGATCTAATACGACTAATGAGGTCATCTTTGGGTGAGTTAAAAGTAGTTTAATCTAATACCCAAAAACTAATAATCCTAGTAGAATGTATGAGACTATAAAGCAGGATATCCTATTAGACCAATAGTTGACTTTAGGTACACCCAAAATACGAATTATTTAAATATTTAGTATCAGTATTATGCCTCATTAGATTCAGGTCAGATTCTAGGCTAACTAACTAATTTCTATTTAGTGAAACAGAAACTAGCGGAAATTCAATTAGAAAAGGATGAAAAATTATTAATTCTGGTATAATAGTCAGTTTAATTTGTGGATGGTGACTAGCGGTGGAATATAGGATAACGCACATTTCGTCCTATTTCGGACTCGTCACTGGATGTACCTGCATTTCCCAGTGAGTGAGTGATGATGTCCCCACCACCGAGGCTCGAACCCAGTGCCCTTAGTTTCAAACGCCAGCTGACCAGTCTCAAATAGGACGAAATGCGCGTTATCCTGGATTCCGCTGCTAGTCACCATCCACAAACTAAATTCTAATTTAATGCCCAGACATCGTCGAAGCATCTGCACAAGAAGCCGACAGACATGTCAACCTGAGACCGAGCACTTCGGTCTCCAATCAATCGACGGGAAATTATCAAATTCAATTAAAATAATAGTCAGTTTATACACTAATATCTCAATTATTATAACTCTAGAGGCGATTAGGAATGAATGATGTTCAAGTGATAAATAGGATAAAGAATGATTACTGAATAAAGAATATTCTCCCTGCGGTAACCTGCTCTTCATCATCAGGCTCTACAGTTATATATACATTATAGTGAGTGAATGAATGAATTAGTGTTATGAACAACGTTAATGTTGTTTAAATAACATCGAATCAATAACAATAATCAATGGATTACAGTTCAATAGCATCAGCATAACAATACACTGAATGTCAGAGAGAAAAATTAGGAAAGATAATAATACAAATTCATGAATCTATATTTTCCATTGAAGGCCGGCCAGGGCAGTAGTAGGGGCTGGACTTGTTTCTTTTGCACACAGAGCACTGGTTGTTTGAGGTGAATTGCAATAGCCTCTGCTGTTTGGAGCATGCGGTGCTTCGATGCTTTTGGCAATTTATTTGGTACTCGGTAGATGACAGAGAAGGATTCTTCAGTGCTGGCTGACTTTGTGGCCGGTTTGCACCAGATGGTTCAATATCGAACTGTTGATGATGGTTT